AGTCACGATATTCGTGATATAACGTTCACTGCATCAAAGTGATTAGAATTAATAATAAGTACTCTGACGGAAGACAATAAAAATGAAGTGATTCTATAAACTTGATAGATAGGTAATAATCGGTAATAGTAGGTAATATGCGATTCTCTAATTATTTCGAACGATTTGCTATAGTAAATTTTTTATTACCACAGGTTTCGCATTGTAACATAAAAAAAAGTAAGCAAAAAATTCTGTTGACAATGGACACATGATGAAAACGATGATATAACATAATCCTATTTATTCACCTCTTGAATTCAATCAAAAGTTTATCCTTCGAGATATTAATTACGCCACAGAGAAATAACTTGACTATGATCATCTATTGTCATCTTCTCGAAACATACGGTTTCTTACAAAAGTATTCGAACACTGCATAGACACTTTTTACGAATATATTATATATGTTACATAGACATTTTGAGACATTTCACAAGTGTATAATAGTAAAACATACACATCACGATTATAAGTTAGAAAAGATATTTCGTACAGTAATAATAAGTCTCAGTGAGACTATATATTTAACTTTGCTGTATGTACCAATCTCTTAATTGCACATTAATTTTTTAAATATATATTTGAAGTGAGTATCTTCTACGGATGTACCTTTCGGAACGTTTTATACAACACGTAATTATACAGACGATAATATCTTCCGTGATAAGTGTTCGAAACACTTTCATGAGCCATCGTAGATAAAAGGTCTCGGTACAAAGGGAACACAAAGAGCGTCTTCGAAACGATCGGATGGAAGTATCGACGGCAAATCCCAAGATGGAAATATCGATAAGGGCCGTGTCACTCACGCGACGCTTCCACCCTCTCTGGCCTCGGTTACTCTATGAAAACTCCACGTGCAGACTTAGCTGCACCCACCCCTTCATCGCGTCCATCCTTCACCCTCCGCAACCGCTTCTTTTTTTATCTCGCTCGTCCCTTTCTCGGTCTCTCCTTCGACCCCTGACGACTCATCGCCGCGCGGAACCACCCCTCGCGTCCGCCGATCCACTCGCACGCCATGGGGTAGTTTAGCATCTCAGCCCTCCGAAAATCGAGCACCCCTCCTACGGCGTCACGGCGGTTCTTCTGTCTTTTTATTTATTTCACGTTCGTTGTTCTCGAGAGAGGCAAGCTCGTGTAATAACAAGACCGCGATTGTTTGTGTTTTAAAAAAACTTATCATATCACGTGATTTTTTTTCTTAATAGAAAGTTCGACGAGAATAATCAGAATTGAAACGTTTTGGACATTTCGTAGAATATTTCTTGCGTGTGACAATAAAATCCGGCATCCTGTCATCTCTCGACTACGAAAAGAAAAAAGAAAATAAGAAAACAAAAAGAAATAGAAGAAGGAAAAATATCGTTCATTCTCAGAATGAACGATTCAATTACTCCGGCGATCAGTGAACAATCTAGTAAACATTCTAAACGCTCGTGTCCAAGGCGAACCACTTCCAGCACGATTTTCATACAAAGAGTACCGCGGCGACTGTTACGCGACTTATTTCATCATCATCAAAGGAAACATGGCAAAGCCTCCTTCCTGCGCAAAGCGATGAAAAAGATCTCCGCGCGAGCAAGGAGAAGCAAAAAAAAAAGAGAGAGAGAGAGAAAAGAGAAACGGCGAAGAAAAATCATCGTGTTGTTACAACGTGGATCGTAGCCGATGACGGAGGTGGAAAAATCGATTCTCGCGAACGCGTCGAGTTAATTGCCGTTGCTTTATCAGCCGCACTCTTTCCCCGGCTGAATTTTGCATTAAGCCGTACCGAGTATTCCCTCCGTCGTATAAGTTTCTCGAGCCTGACTATCCGAACGAGCGCTAGCAAACGCCATACTCGCCGCAACGTTGCGAGCGTATAGACTTTGATTGAAATATTACCCGCGTGTCAGCCGCCTGGTAAAATCCTGTAATTACGATAGCGGACAATTAATGATTGTTTACACCGTTCCAGCGCGAAAATTACTAGACGCCCTTAGAGTCCAAGGGAAGAGCGGCGACGCCGTAATAAACGCAGGTCTTCTTACCTCTACGTGTAAGGAGAACCCCTTGAAACGTACGCGAACCATAGAGCCATCTTCCTCTTCCGCAGTCGCGAGCGTTCCCTCGTTATCTCGCGACAAGTTTCTTGCCAGATAATAATTACCAGAGATGTTTCGCATCGACATCGCAATACCGCCTCGGCTCGCAGAACTTGGCCGAAAGTTCTCTCCTCGAGAATTCTCGAGTTCTCGGAGGAGGAACTCGATCGAACGTCGAGCGAAACAGAACGGCTACGAGCGGCACGAAACGCCGTCGGACTAGCATATTGTTCGCGCGATCGTCCAGCCCTCGGCTGAAACGCCTAAATGATCATTAATTAAGCCGCCGTTTCACTGTCCCGTAATCAAGCAAAAAGCGAACGCGTTCGCTTTTAGCGGGCACTGGTGCTCGCGTAGTTTCAATAGGATATTTAAGGGTGACAATGTTTACGGTGTTTGTTCGTGCTTCATACTTTGGATCCAAAGGGAGTATTCTGATCTTCTTACGAAGGAACATACCGAAGTCGAAATTGCCAATTTTGATGAAATTTAGTATGAATGTAGTTTTCAAAAAAATATTCGACCCGTATTTCTTTTTTTTTTTTTTAAATAAATACATCGGCAATGGTCGATGTTGAAGGGGTGAAAAACTAAAACCTCAAAGTTGGAGGTTGCGAAACTCCCGTATTTTGTTTGAATATCTCGGAAATTATTGAAGATAGCATATTTTTGTGTAAATTGATGAAATTAATATTTTTCAACAACGAATTTAATAGCGTATTGCAAAACAACCTTTTGTTTAAACGATATATTGAAAAAACCGTATTTTTGATGAGTTGTTAGTCAAAGTATCCAGCATTGTTTGAAATCGAAATGCTTCTTTTCGTCTTGTTTTTCAAGCGAATAACGAAAAAGTCGTATTTTCCTCGAGAGAACGGCGCAGATATACGTTAATGCACGATAAACATGGTGGTACAATTGTAATTTCTAATTGTGTGCTTCCATTAAGACAACGATTACACTAATTAGCGGATCTTGTAACCTTTATTAGCAGACCGCGTGACTTATCCGACGCGACGTACTTGAATTTAAACAATCTGAGATTTACAATTCGATATCACGCTCCGTGCCCCGCTGGAATATTCACGCTCTGGTAAAGCCCTCTCTCGTCTCGCCCGTTCCTCGAAACGTCCATCGCGAAAATGCTGCTGAATGAGAGAAATCAGGGAACAACTCTGTTACGTTGCAGAAAATGGCCTGCCAAGGAGATTGCGGACGGCGTATACGAACACGCAGCTGCTCGAGCTAGAAAAAGAATTCCACTTCAACAAGTACCTGTGCAGACCGCGAAGAATCGAGATCGCTGCGTCGTTGGACCTAACGGAAAGGCAGGTAAGAACGAATCGAAAAGAACGAACTCTCGAAACACACCCTTTCCTCTGTCGAAAGAAGCGTATAGCAATTGTACAGCGTACAGGCAAACACGTTTCTCGTTTCGCTGGTTTCAGGTGAAAGTCTGGTTTCAAAATCGAAGGATGAAACACAAGCGTCAAACATTGAGCAAAGAGGACGCCGACGAGAAGGACGGCTCGACGTCCGACGGGATGGAGAAATCTAAAGGCGAGAAGATGCTGGCGATTGACAGCGACGAGAAGAAGAGCTGCCACAACTGTGATATATCTAGCGTGAACGACGTAGGCAGCACCCTCTCCGGTGACGTGACAGAATTAAGCTCGTCTGGTCGTCGGAGCAGCAATAACAACAACAATACACCGACAGCGACGAACAACAACAACAACAACAGCAATCCGGCTTTCAACGCGAACAGCAACGGGGCAAGCAGCGTCGGCAGTACGAACAGCGTGTCCAGTTCGTTCGAGAAGATGATAGCGGACGATGACTCGAGATCTCAAGACGGTAGCGAGGTAACATCCCCGAGCGTGGCTGGCAAGAAATTGTCGAGTGACGTCCGGGTAAAAGTGGAGAGCGGGCACAAGAGTCCGAACCCGGGGAAGCAGCAAATTTCCGTCAGCAAGAAGTCCCCGTCGGCGAGTACCAAGGAACTCTGCTCGGTGAACAGCAACGGTGTCTTGCTGGCTATGCCTGATTCCACCGTGAGCACGCCCGTTCTGCCCGGTCAGAATTCCACGAGAAGTCTCACGCCGTCGTCGACGCCCGGCACTCCGGTGTCCGTTCAATTGCAACAGGGAAGTCCCTTGGGGATCCAAGCCACGCACGCAGCCTACATGCAAAGGCCAAGAAGTTCTCCGTCGTCCACCAGCTCCGTGGCTGCTCCCATGATGCACGGTTCGACAAACGCAGGCACGATGTCCCCTCACGGCGGCAGGAACATCAGCAACAATCAGCAAACGCACTTCCAACAGCAGAGCGTCTACCAGTCAACGTCCGCCATCGACTACAGAAACGGAGTGCCCAACAGACAGGCTGTCCCAGCAGCCTCGCAGCAAACGCAGTCTCAAGGCAACTATTGCTCCAGGGATACCTATCAACAACCTCGAATCTCCTACCCAGGCGATGTTCACCCTCTGTACGCCAGGCAGAACCAAGTGTTAGGATCCCGAGTAGGCCACCACGTTCGTGCGGCAACAGGCGGTGCCTCCAGGACGATGTACAACTCCAGCATGCAGTTCCATCAGCAACAAAACCAATACGCCAACACCGGAGGGGAGTACAACGGCTATCCTCAAGCAGGACCCTATCACGCGTCTTACCACCGAACAATACAAGGCGGCAGCGGCTACAACACCAGTCAAGGTTACTCCGCTCAACACGACCAAACAACCGAGAACTACATGACACCTACAGGCAACTATGGCTACCCTAGCGGTGGCAACTATCACGCCACTAGCGAGAATCTGGCGTCTCACGGCCAC